CACAACACTGTGCGCTCTTTCACACGAGAGATGACGCGCCGCACGAATATCATGACTCTGGGTTCGGCTCGATCCTGCAAGTAAACACTGCAAAAGCGGATTCGGCAAAGCATCGCACGATACACAACATGGGAAGGCATGTGTTGGCGGAATGTGTTCATGCCTCCCCCGTCTCTTGTGTCTCCTGTCATCCATATTACCCAACTTACAAATTTAACAATTTAGGCTTGGAAACCAGTGTTGATCGCATGTTTGCATACTTGAACGCTTCTGTGCTTGCGTGCTTGCTCGCTTTGATGTTGGTGCATATCTCTTCAACCTAACCATCACTGTCATGGCCGTAATGGTGGCCAACGGAATAATGAACCACAGTGAGTAGAGAAATGTTGAGAATCTTGATGCCAATAATTTAGTCGATGTTCCAAAACCGTTGATGACAACATCCTGGTCTTTCCGCGCTCTACATTGCAGACCGAGGAAAATTCCGACCTACTCCGCGACACGTATCATCGTGACCCTGAACAGCTGTTCTTCACGTACCTATCCGCAGCCTGATATGCATTCAACATTCGGAAAGAGCCACGCGAATCATAGCCACAATAGTCCCAGGCGTGCTACAACGTCACAATATCAGCAACATCTAATACATCATGCGTGGGATGAACTGCGTACAGAAAGAATTGAACTCGTACTATGAGGTACCGTGCCTCTTATCCGGAGGAACACATACCACATGCGATCAAAGCTAGTATATACGGGGCAACACACAAGATATCGCTTTCATAAACAACGCCCCGTATGCGCACTCCCCGACACCTCTCATGCATCAAACACGATGAGAAACATCACAGTTCACCTTAGCGCACCAACCCATGGGCAGCGATGGAATCTGCCACTGTGCCGTAGGTACTGATTTTAGTGCGCGCAGGAAATTACCTCATTGATGGACATCAGAACAACATGTTATACGGGCTCCAGACTCCGAATCCCTAACTCACAGTGCTCACGCGCGCCCTTGAACGCTTCTGGGGTTTGACGCGTGACCTTGCCATGTGTTTAGGCAAGGCAGCTGGGGAAGCACACTTCCCATATCCTCCAGGATGGTCCCAGGGGCTCATCCTGAGACTCTGGGTCTCGTGGGCCGTCTTCCAGACTGGCCTGCCAGGTGCACATGACAGAAGAACTTTACGTGCTCCATGCCCAACCTCCTGTGAACACGGGTCGCCGCTTTGGATCCGCAGCGCCACGCGTCCCCTCTCCTCTCCTCCTCCCCCTGTGGCTGCTCTCCGCACGCCGATTTCGGCACACCCCTGGCAAGTTACGTGCCCCTTCGGGAGCTTTGAGCAGGGACCAACTGTCCTGGCATTCCTGTAGTCCAACCACGAAGTGTTCTTACAACGCAAAATGTTCTAAGAACAAAAGCAAGGTTCTTATAACATCAACCCGATGATTTAAAAGAAGACAAAATCAACCAGAAATGTTCTAAGAACATTTCGTGTAAACCCCAAAAGGTTCTTAGAACATTGGCAGGGCTATATATATAGGCGAGCCAGGACGCTTCGCTGTTGCTTGAGAGCTCCCCCCTGCGGCCCCAGTGGCTACTCCAAAATGGCGCGCGCGGCTCCCCTATCCGGCACTCCGCGCACAAAGGTCGTGCCGCACCGACTCCTCCAATGGGGCCCGCACGCCCGCACGCCGCACGCCGCACCGACCTCCGACTCCGGGACGTGGCCAAGGCCCGCACGTCCCTCGCGCGTCTCGTGTCACGCAGGGAGCTCCACCTGCGCCCCCGCTGGGCACGCATGCGTGGCGTATGCGGGCTCATCTCGGCACACACACACACACACGCAAGCGCACACACATGCACACTCACATACACAGGCGCGCACAACCGCAAACACGCATGCGCGCACATACGCACACACATCGACAAACACAAACACACATTCACACACAAACGCGTACACACATATACATATATATGTATACATATATACACACACTCGCACACACAGACACAGATACAGACACATACTCAGACACAGACACAGACAAAGGCACAGGCACAGACACACAGACGCACACACAGACACACACAAGCACAGACACAGACACAGACACACACGACGCACAGACACAAACACAGACACACACGACACACACGACACACAGGACACACACACATGACACACACGACGCACACGACACAGACGACACACACGACACAGGCACACACGACACACACGACACACACGACACACACACACACTCTCACACACACACTCACACACACACAAACACATCCACACATAATCACACAAACACGCATCCACACACACCACACACGTGCCGTGTCCCTTAAGGAGTACCAGCTGCGCCTTCGAATGGGAAGGTTGCATGCGTCCCCAGCCAAATTCGGCACCGCCCTCACAGATTTCGAGCCCGATACGGACCTCCACCTACAACCCCAGCGGCCGCGCCCGCGTGGCGTACTGCCTCCCATTTCACGCCTCACACGTCCCGTGCCCCCTTGGGAGCTTCGCGCGCGGCTCCAGTAGGGAAGTGGGCATGCGTCGCACGCTGCGGCGTGAGTGCAGCCGCCGCCGACTTCGGCACACGCCTCACACGTTTGGTGCATCGTAGTTCCACCCGTGGCCGCTTCGGACACGTGCGCATGCGCCCCCCCCCACACACACCAAGTTCGGCACACCCCTCACACGCTTGCGCCTCTTAAGGAGCTCCACATCGGGCCCCGGAGGCCGGGCTCGCGCACGTTCCCCCTCCAACTCTCGCAGATCGCGCCCCCAATGGGGAGCTTCACCCACGGCCCCAGCGGGATGGTTTGCACCCGTCCCCCCTCCCGCTTCGGCACATCCCTAGGGCGGATTGTGCTTGGAGAGGTTTCGCATCCACGTTACATGGCGATGCGAAGAAGGTTGGCTCTCTCGCAAGGCTAATTGTTGTTCGGCCCCAAGAGCCCGCCAACAGGCCTCCAAGAGCTTGCCACGAAGCACCTGGGAGGCCCCAAGAGGCCCCCAAGAAGGAAGCCCCACCAAAGCCCCAAAGAGACCCAAAGGGGCATCCAAACGGCTCCTGATCCACTGCTCAACCATCGGGGCGGGGACCAACAAATAACCGAACAAATGACATCAACGAATCGGCCCACCGTAATCACACCAAACACTTACCAAACAACCGCTATACGCCTGCAAGTGCACCGTGCAAAAGAGCCTCCAACAACGGATGTTGAACTGTTGTGGGGGGACTCCGGACAATGTGTTGCATGATTAGTTTCGTTACTTGCTAAGCCATGGCCGAGCCGCACAGATGGGATGGGTCCCAGGGTTCCACTGGCCCCCCGCCCTCCCAGACGGGATGGGTGAGACGACGACGCCGACGCCGACGCCGACGCTGACGCTGATGTCGATGCCGATGCTGATATCGATGCCAATGCCGACGACGCCGACGCCGATGGAAGACGACGTCGACGACGACGACGCTGGCGACGATGACGACGACGACGACGTCCACCCTCCACCACGCCACGCCCAAAAGGCCGCGACCACGGGGGGTTGGGCAGTCACATTAGCATTGGAGGGGGGGGAGGGTTGAAGCCCTGGATCATGTATTACACGAGGCGCGGGGCGAAAGACTGTAACTGGTGCCATTTACTTCAAATTGAACCACGCGCTGCAAAGAAAAACCGCACTGGAATGGAACGCACCCAACGCTTCACGGAATCGTTCACGTGACTCTGCGCTTCGTAAAGTCAACAGCCCCAAACGAACCGAGACAAAGCCATCTGAATTCATAATCTGCAACTGGCCAACTTGTCAACTGGCAGAGGAAAAACAATAACGAGCCCGGCACGCCTCCAATCAGTGGTATTATTTCTTCTGGAGCGGCGCAATGCAGTGCAAAGCTAGGCCATGCAACGTATTGGCGTTAAGCGCATTTCAAAGCGATGAAGGAACATGATGCAACATGCAACACACGTGAAACAAATCCATCACAAAGTATGCCGAAGCAAGGCAAAGCGAAGCAATGCATGCAAGGCACGAAGTGAATAGAATGTAAGTTCTAGCACAGCAAAATGGCACCCGATGCACGTGGTGAAGGGCAAACCGCAACAGCAGCGACGCAGTGGGAGCCCGCGAATCAGCCAAAAACGAAGCTAGGGAGCCCTGAGCGCCCGGGGCGAGGCCTTGGAACCCTGGGCTGCACCCACCCCGAGCCCCGCTCCGCCCCAAAGGGCACCCCACACTGCCCTCACCACACACCATCCTCCTCCTCCTCCTTCTCCTCCTCCTCCTTCTCCTCCTCCTCCTCCTCCTCTTCCTCCTCCTTTTCCTCCTCGTCCTCCTCCTCCTCCTCCTCCTCAGACGCCCCGATGACCCTGGGCGGGGCTGCGGGCCCTTTGCATACGATGAGCAGGCCCCCTGAGGAAGCAAGCGGCGACCGGGGGGTGAATGCATCCGCACCCCAGTGTTTGGAAGCGGGCGGTCGACCCACGGACTTTTGCTGACAACGTGGGTCTCATACACGTGACCTGACCCTCGCAGACAAGCTGTTTAGCGAACCATAAAGGACACTGCGCTGGCCTCCGTGTCTTCTGCCACTGCCAATCAGAATCGGATATACCACATCTCAAAACTTAGGAACTAATGCCTTGAAGTAGTTGACCGGGTCCTTTGTGATGTCCTTGTACAATTTGGTCAAAGTTTTGTTGGTTCGAGTCCAAGCCTCAACGACAGCATCCTCGACATCCAAAGACTTGCCCTTGTAGCAGTGCGGAGTGCCACCTTGCACTTGATCATCGTAGCAACACCTGTGCAACGCGAGAGATGTGGCTCCAGACAGGCCAAAATAGTACAACGGCAGTGAGCCTGGCGGATATCCAGAAAGCGCCCAACACACAAAGCCACAACCACCAATGTAAGAGAATGATCGGGACCATCGAGAAGCCAACGCCAATTCTATATAACTCGTGTACTTGCCACCTAAGCTGATCCACCTCAGATCCGCCACCGTGCCCACGGCATGCTGGCGCGTATAAAGATACTAATTTGCTCTGTGGTAATGATCGCGTAATTTGCTTCAAGGTGGCCGACCTTCCTACTCGCGTTACACAATCGGAGGTCGCTCCCGTTCCAGATCATCCAAGAAGCCCTGAAGACACCCCAGCGAAGGCCCAAATTGGCGCAAAGACTCTAGCTGTCCAGGTTCCTACCAGCGTTGACTTCACCTGGACGTGATGTAATGTACTAGGGTGGATAAGCTGGTGGGTGGTACTGTTGTGTGAAATGCGTGGGTTCAAACAAGGAACACCAACTCGCATACGCACGCAACCCACGAACGCCCCCCCTCGCATGCGCATCCCGGGTAACTTTGGCTCTTCGAGTTTTTTTTGGGGGGGAATCGGAGCAAGACCTCTTTAGTCTGCTCGTACCTCGCCTCGCAAGCGCCACTGGGAGAACAATTCCAAGACGGGTTCAAGTGACTCAAGAAAGTACCAGCTGTGACATCAGTATGCTTTTGGGTAGCTCACCAACAGGGCTCTTGGAACCATGAACCGAAATCGTTTCAGAGTCTTTGGCTTCACGCCATAGGGTCCCAAAACGGCCGCCGAAGGACTTACGGCCCGAGCAACCCCGAAGACGGCCCCAACCAGCTTCACGAAGCTCAATGAAGGCCACAAGACCTGTCTGGACTGCTCCAAGATGATTCTACCGAACCACTCCAAGAAAGCTCATTCGAATCATCGTGCCCAGACACCTAGGAGGCTTCCAGATGCCTCCAAGAGGCCCGAAAGAAACAGTAGCAACCGATATAGGCGAGGCAGCAACCATCCAACATTACGGCCGCGCCACGCTATATCATCTTAGCGCTTCTTTCCAGACAGACGCAGTATTGTTCTCCTGTCTTTCAGGATAGCTCCGACCCCCAATATCCTGGTGGCTCATGGGGGCCCCGTAGAACCTTGGATCTGCCGAGCCTCTTCGCGAGCGCTCGGTGAAATCATCCTGCATGCTGAATTGGTTTTGATGCTGCAAGATGTTGCACGAATTGGAGTGTCTTCAAGTCCCTTGAGCCCTCCGTCCTCAGTCCGCGAGGCCCAAGCAGGCCTCAAGAGGCACCCAATACGCCCCCGGGACACGTCAAAATCGCCTCGGAGTGGCTTCCGAGAGGACTCACTTTCTGCGTCGGCGGCCAGGCAGAGGTCGTCTGCGCTGGCGGGCGGACGGAGCTTAACTAAACAGGGGCACCGTTGTAGCGAATTGGCCATCATGCAAGAGGAGGAGGGGGGGGAGCGAGGGCCACTCAGCCGGGGATCTTCCGACCCGGGTCCATCCAGACCCGGGTCAGCAAGAAACCAAAAACTGCAATGCAGGAAAAAACAACTGCAACGCAGGTCTTCGCAAACCCTGGTCAGCCAATATGCGCGGCCGCCTCGCGGCCACGAGCGGCTCGCTAACCCGGGTCAGCCAGAGGGGGTCTTCGCAGGATCCTGCAGGGTCCGGTGCCCTGGCTGACCCCCGTTTGCACTGACCCCCGTCTCTTAGGCCCTCAGGGGGGACGGATCACTCCCCGTGAGCCGGCAGGACTCACAAGAGATCTCCGCTGGCATCCCAGATGCCTCCGCCCGGGCACGGTGGGCGGAGGCACGGCGGCGCGGGAGGGGCCGGAGGCCGCAAGATCCGCCGCGCCCCGCTGGCTTGCCACGAGGGTGCACGGCGTGCTCGATGTCTGGGAGGTGTTTTGGTTCTTTTCTATTAGTCTCCCCCTGGGCTGAACCTGAACGGTGTTTTTCGTTTTCGTTTTGTTTTCGTTTTCCCTGATTTGTTCTTCAATCTGCCTTTCACGCAAAACGACATCGAAACGAAAACGGCCCACGAAATCGCCAAAACACCGTTAGGTCCACCCCTGATCTCCCCCCTGGGGCTTCGTCCCGGCCCGCTGAGCACCCGAAGAAGAGTGCGTCGGTTCCCCCCCAAAGTCCATCCAAGACGGCCTAGATGGTCTCCAAGACGATCAAGATGGCCCAAGATGGTCTCCAAGATGCCTCCATGACGGCCAAGCTGGCCCCAAGAGAGCCCAAGATAGCTCCGAGATGGCCTCCAAAACGGTCCCAAAATGCATCCAAGACCGCCAATATGTTCCAAGAGAGCAGAAGACGGCCCAATAAGCGCACAAGAGGCCCCTAAAATGACCCTAAAGGCCTCTCAGAGGTCCTTTAGGAAGGCCCGAAGAGACTTCCATCCTTCATATTCCGAAGGTTTTTGAAGGATGTTGGGATTTACTTCAAAACGGCCTTTCGACGGCCCAAGGCCGCCCAAGAGGCCCCCAAGATTGCCCCAAGATCGCCCAAGAGGCCTCGAAGATGGGCCCTAGTGGCTCCCCAGGCAGCCCCCAGAGTGCCCCAAGACGGCCCAAGAGGCCTCCAAGCCGCCCAAGATGGCCTCCAAGACGACTCTGAAGCGCCCCAAGAAGGCCTCAAGACGGCCCCAAGAGGCCTCCAAGACGTTCAGGATGGCCTCCAAGACGACCCTGAAGCGCCCCAAGACGGTCCAAAGAGGCCTCCAACACGGCTTCCGACGGCCAGGAACGCCGTAAGACGGCCAAAGAGGCCCCAAGAAGCTCACAAAGTCCCCCAAGAGGCCCAAGGAGGCCCCGAAGAGGCCCCCAGGAAGCTCGCAGGAGGCCCCAAGAATGACTCATGAGCTCCGGAGAGGTCTCCTCATCCTTCTCCTCATCCTCCTTTTCCCTCCCTCTCCTCAGCCTCCTCTTCCTCCCCGACGTGTTCCCCGAAGGGCTTGCACAACGGCTGGGGGAACGCATGGTCCAACAGCGCGGCCGAACTTTGCCCACACGTTTGGCCACACAGACGCATCCCAAACGGCAGGGAGCGGCGATGCTTCGCCGCAGGCGTCCTCGATACGAGGGCAACTTTGATCGCTTAATCCTCAACGTCTGCGCCTGTCCCGCCTCCGCCAGAGCCTTCCTCATCGTCTTGAGCTTGGTCTCCTTGCCAACCTTCGTGATGCCGTCTCCAACGAAGACGCGGTCCTCGCCGAGGCTCTCTTCTGCCGCCGCGCCCGTGACCGCCGTGACCGTCAGCTCGTTCGAGTCCGTGTTCTCGGCGACGCTCAAGCCGAGGCTTGCGCCTTTCTCTAGCTTGATCGACTTCTCCACTTTTGCCCCGTCCTTTATAAAGCATGCTATCGACACACACTCGCTGGTGCTGATGCCGTCATAGCCGCAGTCTTTTCTCTTGGAGGTCTTCACGTCGCAAGCGCTATAGCCAGAGACGAGTATCAGCCAGGCGCAAACCACAAAATGGATGACGAAAAATATTGGCCGCTGCCGTCGCTGCTGCAGCAACCCGGACAGGCCACTCGGAGAGAGCTCCTCGTCTGTCTTCGTCTTCTTCTTCTCAGCCTTCTTGGTCTCCGCCGCCGAGGCCGCCTGGGCACGCCCGCGCACGACAGGGAGGGGTGCAAAGGGCGGCGGGCGCTGGGCTCAGGCAGTGAGGGGACAGGGGCACGACAGGGAGGCAGAGGAGTGCAAGGAGGACGACGCGGGGGTCACGGAGGACGGGGAGGGTCCGGAGGGGCGGAGGAGGGCACGCGGTAGGATCCAGAGGGCGGACCGGGAGCAGGAGGTTGCAGCGGAGACGAGGAGACGGACAACGAGGGGGGGGGAAAGGCGGGAACGAAGGAGGGGGCAGAGGAGGAGGACCAGGAGGAGGCGGCAGAGGAGACCGAAGAAGACGACGACAGGGAGGACATGGAGGAGGACGAGGAGGAGGACCAGTGTAAACCCACGACTCACCAACGATGTTGGAATACACCATCCGTCCAAGCTTTCTCTTCATAGGCCCCCAGAAGGATTCATTTCCATTGGGGAATGTGCCCCATTGGGAGACAACCGTTCGAATATCCTGAAGCGTGCCAGAACACCATTCTCGGGACCCCAACGCCACGAATCAACGAATCAACCTGACTGTGCCGTCTGGACGATCCTGTATCGTTCCTGAACGCTATTCCTGGAACTTCAACACCGCGAATCAACGTAACAATTGCGCCCTGATCATCCTGAACTTTTCCAAACACCATGGGTACGTTGACCATGGGAATCCGTGAAACTCCTGCAAAAACTTAAAACGAATGTGCGCGGAACTGAAGCGAGAACCACATTTTGGAAAGGAGCCGCCCTCAATCTGTGAAGCTCTTGCAATCTTTCAGAATGAATGCGCGCGGTTCAAAGGTGAGAACCACATTTTGAAAACGACCCGCCCTCTACGCGTGAAACTCTTGCAATCTCTCAAACAGAATGTGCGCTGTGCATGGGCAAGAACCACATTCTGAAAACCGCCCGCCCTCAAGCCTTGCAACTATTGGAGAGGAATATGCGCGGCGCTGAGGCGAGGACCACATTTTGAACACCAGCCGCCCTCCATCCATGAAGCTCCTGCCAGTGTTTATAAGGGCGAGTGTGCGCGGCGCGAAGGAGAGCGCCGCATGTTCAAAACCGCCCGCCCTCCATTCGGGGATGGACAGACCTCCCTTTAGTAAAACGTGGTTTAGTGAAAACGACCTGAGGCCCACACTTGGCGGGCGCAAGCCTGGAAAATAACGGCCGCGGCGCCCTCTCGAGAACCGAAAACGGACAATTCACTAATCGACGTGTCACTGTTGGGGGCTCTGTCCACCCCCGATCCCTGTGTGCAGCTGCCCATGGGGCGAGGCGCGCTGCGCTGGCCTCGAGCAGGGCCCGGGGCCACAGGCGCAGGGGCTCTCCCCCGAGACTGGGGGAGCCCACAGCAGGACGCGCGCGCCCGACCGCGCACCTGCGCGCGGCCCCCCGGTCCGCGCGACCGGCCGCGTGATACGAACGTTCGCGCACTGCGTATTCTCGAAACCAACGTTGACCTAAGGAACCCTAGATAAGGAACGATGCCCCATTTTCCATTAGTTGAACTTCGATTTCCCATCGAAAACATAAGGAAAGCCCAAGGCAAGCTGTGAAACACTTAAGGGACGCGGAGCCCCTCCCCAACGAAAAGGGTTCCTTCTTCAGGGCCCCGACTGTATGGAGGCTTCCTAGATGGGGTCCGCGTAGATGGGGTCGGAGGATCGCGCCGCATCGCCGATGCATCGGCGACCCATCGGCGATGCATCGGCGACGCTGGCGATGCATCGGCAACGTCGGCGTGAAGCGACTCGGGCTCCACATCGGGCCGCATCGGCGATGCATCGCCGATGCGGCGCGATCCTCCGACCCCATCTACTCGGACCCATCTAGGAGACCTAGATCGAAACCAACGGGTACTCATGTACGTGTACGTCCACCTTTCGCTCTTGATGGGAAAAACAGCGCGTCGGACACGGAACATCCGCCGCCGTGTACCCCCACGACACAGTGGCCCCTGAACCCCTCGATTCCCTCGGACCTGGACCTTCGACGAT